GGGTGGGGGAAGCAGAGCCCCCGTGAGGTGTCCTCTGTGGCTCTCAGCCAATAAAGCCAGTGTGATGATGAGGGTCAGCTTGCTGGATGGTTGGGGGCTAAGGGCCGGGAGGCCTGGTCTGTGGGTGGCTGTGGGGTGGGCTTCTGTGGCAGGTGAGAGGCCCGGGTGGAAACACTCCACATGAGGACTTCTCCTGCTGGGGACTTTCTCGGGGAGTTTCCCAGGCAGGCAGAGGAAGGGGGAGCAGGGAATGGGGTAGAGAGAGGAGGGAGGCAACCATGAGAGACAGCAGGCAGGGAGTGAGGCTGGCCTGGCCTGAGGGACTGGCTCTCCAATCCCAAACTCTGACTCAGCTGCCCCCATCACGATGGGTCAGGATCACTGTGACCTTTCGTGACATCTACTCCATCCCAGCAGCTATCCTCTCGCCAATCCTGTGTGGTATGGGGTGACATCCTCATCTGACATGGAGGAGTCGCAGGCTTGGAGAGTTTGGGGTCCTAGCTTCGACTCCAGATGGCACCGGAGTGGCAGAGAGGAAATGGAAACTGGGTCTGTGTCCCCCCCAGGCCTGGCCTGCAGCGTGAGAGGACGCAGGGTGCCACGCTGGGGAGATGCAGAGCTGGTGGTGTCCGGGACGGAGCTCCCGGGGCTGGAGGGCAGCAGGGTCCAAATGCCAGTGGTAAAAGGGCACCGCTTATCCGTCTCAAGGCTCAGAGGCAGGCACCAGTCCCCCCTCTGGATTTCCTGCCAGAAGAGGGGCTCCTGGGTCCCAGCTCTCTGAGCTCTCCTGGTGACTTCTCTTGTGGGGGGCGGGGAGCGGCTGCCCCAGGTACGGCCCAGAAGAGACAGAGCCCTGGCCTTTGGCCTTCTCTGGCTGCCCCCTTGGGAAGCAGGAGAAATGGGTGTATTGTGCCCCCATCAGAGGAAGGACTGTCCCCACACTCCCTCATGTCAGAGTGGCTGAGGCTTCCTTCCAGAGCCTCAGTTTCCCCATCTGGATCACGGGTGTAGGGAGAGAAGGGCCAGGACACGGAGGAACCCCCTTTCCCGTCTTTGGTGTAGTGGTCTGGAGGGTCTTACAGCCCCCAAGGTGACACCCAGGGGGCTGGAGACCCCTTCCTCGGGCGGGCAGCCCAGGCCCCTGCAGAGACGCTTCCTGGGCAGGCAGCCACACGGCCTTCAGTCTCTGCGCTCCCTCCTCCCTCAGCAGGTCCCCTGGGGCTTGGGAGGAAGCGAGCCCGGCTGGACAGCCCCAACTGTCTGGTTCCCACAGACTCCAGGGCCAGGGGGGAAAGGGGTCCTGCAGGGGTGGGGGCGAACTGAGGCCGGAAGGGCTTGAGTGAGTGCCTGGCCAGCTGTGGGGGCCCTCCCTTCCATGTCTGCTGGACCCCAGCCTGGAACCCATCGAGCAATGGGGAGAAGGAGAGAGGGTCGAGCTGTCCCATTCGGGCAGCTCAGGTCTGAAAGGGGAGGAGAGAAAGGTCCTGTGTGTGGGGACATGGATGAGGACAGGGGCAGGAGGCTCTTGTGTGGGTCGTAGGTGGTGTGTGCCTGTGTGGGTCAGTGTGTCTCAGAGTGTGTGTGTGTGTGTGTGTGTGTGTGTGTGTGATGCACAGAGACAGTTACAGGACAAGGACAAGCAGATTCAGGGAAGGAGGCCTCGGCCAGGCACTGTTCCCTGTGGTGCATTCCTCTGGAGACCTGGTGACCCCAGTTCCTTCCCAGCCTGAGTCCTGAGCTCGTAGGAGGATGGGGAGGCTGGCCTGCCTCAGGGAGCCCCGGCCTCTGCATCCTGCCCAGCCCTCCCCTGAGGAGGTTTGGCTTCTGAACTGAGGGTGGGGGCTTGGGGAGAAGAATGCTGCATCCCCCCTCCTTTGCCCTGGGGACACCCACACCCAGGAGCACAGACTCAGCTCTGGGCATGAGCCCCCTCTCCACGTCCCTCTCTGGCTCCCAACATAGCCAAGAAGTGAAGACAGGCCCCCTTCAGGCCCAGTCCCCAGCAGGGCCCTGGGCTCAGTGCCTGCCTTGGACTCTCTGTGTAAGACTGGACCAGTGCCCACCTCTCTGGCCCTGATTTCATTCCCTTTGCCCCAGGGGGTGGGGGAAGCAGGGAAGCAGCCTGACTTTTTGAGTCCGTGTCCCAGAGGAGGGTGTGACCTGGAGGGGCTCTCATCCCCGAGGTGCTGGCCCAGAAGCCCAGACATCATGATCTCACGTTGCCCTCTGCTTGCTGCCCAGCCTGGGGACCCCACCCACTGGGCCTTCTGCCCTCACATTCTTTCCATGACCAACAGACACCCTCCGGCTCCTGCCCGGCCACCCCCACCTGGGGGGAGACAGTTCTTAGCAGAGATTCAGAATGCCCACGCTGGGCGGACCAGAGAGTGCGCCTCAGCATAGATGACGAGACCCGCCAGAGAAGGGAAGTGACATTCCCAGGCCACGCAGCAGGGCCTTCTGTGCCCACCCATGGCTCCCCTCTGCTGCGTCAGCTGTTTCGGGATAAGGGCCATCCCATCTGACTGCTTCAAGGACCCTCTCCACTGCGGACTTGTCTGAACCAGGAGGAGGTCACAGCCCCCACTCCTCCTCGAAGGGTAGGGCAGAAAGGGTCCTGAGTCACCTTGCTAAGTCCAAACCGAAAACGGTAAAACCAGTGGTATTTCAGGATGTCCCAGAGTGTTTAATCACAGCAGCTCCGATTCTTGGAATATCAGAGTTGAAAGGGCGTCTCCCGCTCAATTTCTGAATCCTCTCTGCACCAAGTAGAGCATACCACATG